CTGGCAAACAGATCTTAATCATCTGGAAATGAACAGTGGCGTCTCCTACCAGTTTACTTTAACATGCCGTAGCTTTTAAATGGAGATGGCTAATTTTTCCTGAGCATGTATATTTTTTGCCACTTTATGCTGCACAGTTCTCTATAGTGAGGTGTGTTTTTGCTGTTCTCCACAAAATGCTAGTGGGAGTGACTTAGCTGAAATTCCAAACATACGTGCTTTGCCCTCTTTGAAAGGGGTGCGGTCTCTCCAAACCTCAAAGTGCTGTAAGTAAAATACATCTGTTCTTAACACACTTTTGTATTCAGCTCCAGATTAACCAGTCGATCATTTTCTGCAACTCTTCTCAACGGGTTGAACTGCTAGCCAAAAAGATCTCCCAGCTGGGTTATTCCTGCTTTTATATCCATGCAAAAATGAGGCAGGTGAGTGAATTTGCTGGTTCTTCCCAGACTTTCACCTGCAAAGTGTCAGACTGTTGTCACTATCGTTGTGTCCTTTACCAGTGGGGAAAGTAGTTCTAGAAATGTGTGTCCTTGTTTAAGTACAGGAACTCCGGTCTGATTTAGGAATACCAAACTAAACTATGATAGGTTCACCTTTGGCAATTAATTAAAATGTGTTTTGTGTGATTCTGTCGATACACAGACGTGGAAATAATGATCGGTTCTATCTTTTTTTTTTTTTTTTTAACCTCCAGCCCTTGAGTTTTTCTGCTGCCCGTGTCTCAAGTCTCACTTTTCCTTTCGTCACCCAGCAAACACCATTAATAGTCTGGGAAAATACTCATAACAATATTATTGTGACACATGATTTTTAATTTATACTTTGACAATTGGATATAAAAAAACTGAGAACTTCATGAAACATGCCACTCGCTATGCTGATGAGTAATCTAAGCACTTCTTGGCGTGTAAATAAAGTACAACATGATCCTGTTTTTACTTCCATCAGTTAAATTTCAGTAAACATTTAATCAGTTTTTGAAGGTCTGGATTGGATCACTGACTGCTGCTTTTAATTTTTACAGTATAATGTAAGGCATATTTTTTGCATGCTAAGCTATAATTTATCTGTTTTGGCTGGTTGTCTCTGACTGCTTTCTTGGTGTTGACAAGATTGCGTTTGTGTCGGTTTAAAAATCAGAAATAAAATGCTGAGAACTTTGACAGAACTTTGCAAAGCATCAAAAAAAGCAGTACAACTGCATCGTCATCACAATGTAGTGAAAACTTAAGTTAGAGGAAAAACGTTGGATTATCATGAATCAGTTCATCTCTAAGCTATACAGCGAACAGTTTTTATTCCAAAAAATAATTTCCTTACAGGCTAGTAGTCAGTATATCTAGATTAAAAGTGCTTTTTGCCACTAACTTTCAGTTGGGAACACGTCATCCTAAAGACCTATGTGGTGAGACCCGATTTTGTTTCTGTTTTAGTCCTTGTATGTCATTCTGAAGCAAACCTGAAAAGCCACACAGATTCAGTCTTTAACCATTGACACGTTGGTACAGGAACTGATGTTGTTAAATTGACAGAACTCTCTTGGATGAACTCTTCAGTTAGTTCAAGCATCTTGCATTTGCTTAGCTTAAGGGGCACTATTAAGCTGGTTAATGTTTATCCACAGAGACTGCCTCGCTGCTTAAATCAGTACAGTTAAATGCTGTTACCAGAAAGTTAAACCGTACAAAGAAAGACTGATAATTTGAGATTTATGAAAGAAAATGCAACAAGTGCTTGGTAGTAAAAATTAATGTGTACATGTCCAGGTTTGTGTGTTTAGGTATTCCTACTTTGAGATGAGGGGTTTTGGCTTAAGTGGGGTTTAATTGTGAAATACACGCAATAGCTTGGGGGGAAAACCTGCTAATATACCATTTTTTTTTTCTTTATCAGGAGCATCGTAATCGTGTGTTCCACGATTTCCGAAATGGCTTATGCCGCAATCTTGTTTGCACTGGTGAGTATTCCTTTTGTTTTTGTTCATTATTTTTTTTCAATTTGTGATGGTGACAATGGGAATTGGATCACTTGGCTCATAGTTAGCTACAGCATCCAGCCCAGATGCAATTTGTCTACTTATATAATCAGTGAAGAAAATATTTGCCTTGGAGGACAGCATTTTCTTCTATTTCCCCCTTCCCCAACTTGTACGCATCATTAATGTAAGCTGTTACACGTATTTTTTGAGAGCTTACATGATATTTCAGGGAAACAGATTGAGACTGGCTGAATAAAGACAAAAGGTGATTTTTTTTATTTATTTTTTAATATTCCTTCTTTGCACAAAATAACAGATGGACTGTTTTGAGGTTTTCGTGATGGGTGTGTGATTCTGAACTGCATACCAATATGTTTGTTACACTGAGCCTTACTACTATTGTATTTGAGTGACTTAAGTAAGAATTGTTGCTATTCGTTTTGCATTTGACATAGGATAACACCTCTAGGAGCTGCTGACAAATATGCTTCCTTCTGCTGTCCTCTTTTGCCACTTCAATTACATTTTGTTATGTCCTTAAATATGTTGAGTTCTCGGCAATCTGTGGATGGTTTCACCATAAATTAAAAGTTTGTTAACTAATGGAGTGATCAAGTATCATAGCAAAATTAAGACTCGTTAATTAAAATAACTAGAGGGGTTCAGTCCTTGGACCGGTGCTGTTCAATGTTTTCACCAGTGACTTGGATGAGGGTGTGGAAAGCACTCTGTCCAAATCTGCAGATATCATCAAATTTATGGGGTAAAGTTAACACGCTAGAGGGTAGAGAATGAATCCCGGCGGATCTGGACAGGTGGGAAAAGTGGGCAGAACAGAATAGGATGCAGTTCAACAAGGATAAGTGCTAAGTCCTGCACCTAGGGAGAAGGAATCGCCAGCACGCTTATAAGTCCCTTCCGACCCTACTGACTATGAAACTATTAAGTGTGGGGGAGGACCTTCTCAGCAGCACAGCAGCGGAAAGGGATCTCGGAGTCATTGTTGACGCCAAGATGAACGTGAGACGCCGATGTGACGAAGCGATCGGTAAAGCTAACCACACTGTATCATGCATTAGCAGGTGCATGACAGACAGGTCCAGGTAGGTGATACTTCTCCTGTATGCGGCTTTGGTCAGGCTGCAGTTGGAGTACCGTGTCCAGTTTTGGGCACCACACTTCAAGAGGGATGTGGACAACCTTGAGAGGGTTCAGAGGAGGGCCACTTGTACAGTTAGGGGCCTGCAGGCAAAGCCCTGTGAGGAGAGCTTGAGGGCCCTGGATCTCTTCAGCCTCTTGATCGGAGCGCGGGGACGGGACGGCAAGGAATAGGAGATGCTCTGCTTACCAGGGCACCCCTTGGAGTAACTGGGAACAGGGGTCACAAACTGACGGAGAGCAGATTCAGGTTAGACATCAGGAAGAACTTCTTTACGGTAAGGGGTGCCAGAATCTGGAATGGGCTTCCAAGGGAGGAGGTGCTCTCCTGTACCTTGGGGGGGTCTTTAAGAGGAGGCCAGGGCTCTTTCCTGCCCAGGGCAGGGGTCAGAGTCTTTCTGCTACGGTCCCTTCTGACCCAAACGTCTATGAATCTAGGAATAGTGATGAATGTTTAGTTGAAGACCTTAATAAGCAGTTGCTGGTGTATCAGGAGTAAGTTGATGTAAAATTTCCTTTCTTAAGTGGCAAATGATTAGATTAAGTAATGTCACCTGAAATCTTTTCCTTTTAAATAAGCATTTAGAGGTGAGACCGGGCAGTGTCAAATAATTGCATGCGGCCTTTTACTTTAGCTGTACAATTTCATTGTTGACAATATTGTTTGCTGATGAGTGTTTTGGTCTAAGAATATTAACTTTGCAGCTCTTGAACGCAACAGAAGTAGAACAGAATGATTAAATAAGATAAAAAAACTAACTATTTAATCCTTCTGCCGCTATAAGTTAAACTACTTCATATTTAAGGGAGAGTTGGGGCTTGAAACTGATGCTTAGAATTGTTCAGGTATACAAAATGGCTGTGGTGTTGGTTTCTGTTCCCGATAAGAGGGCCTTCCAAAATGAGATGTAGAGAGTCAGCCTTCCGTTGGTTCTTAACAATGTTTTTCCCCATCCAGAAGTAGTGAAAAGACTTAACCGAGCTAAGTTCACAGTAGACCGTGGTCTCGGGTGACATTTGCCATCCAGTTTTTCAGGGAAACAAACGGTGTTAGGGGATCTTGTGTTTCAGCTAATATGGAAATGTCTTTCAGATCTGTTTACCCGAGGTATTGATATCCAAGCTGTGAATGTGGTGATAAACTTTGATTTTCCAAAGCTGGCAGAGACTTATCTCCATCGTATTGGCAGATCAGGTAAGGGGAAGGGGTCATTGTTTAGGAAAGGCATGTAAAGAAACATGATTAACTACTGCTGGATTCATTTCTACTTTTTTTTTGAGCTTTGTGAACATCATCTGCAAGCTGAAATCACGAGAAATGAGTAGATTTTCATATCGTAAAACAAATTGTTATGCAGCGCTTATTCAGTGGGGCGGGGGGAGGGGGCAACAAAGTAGATACTTTGTTGTTTAAAGCATCATTTTGGTGCATATAACAAAACCAGATTGAATGCCTACATTGCTGAAAGGTATCCAGAAACAGGGATTTGGCTTATTTGATTGAAATGTGCTCTTTTCTCTCGAAACCAGGGGCAATTTTCAGTGGCAGTGTTCCTTTAGGAAAACTGTACTTAAATAGCTCCGTCTGAGTGCGTTTTAAGTTGTTGTTTCGTGTGTCTCTGTCCGCAGATATCTCAGCATGAATGAATTTGAACCATTCTTAGCGAAGACAACTCGAGACTCAGTCTTTTCTAACTTAGCATTTCAGTTGCTAATTTTATTGGGGCTGGGGTGGGGGAAAGAGTAGGAAAAATGTGGATTTTTGCATTAGATTCCCCTTGTAGGATAGTTTTTTTAAACCAGTAGTGCTCAACCTTTTTGCCTTGCGAGCCAGATGAATGATGCCTGCTTGGTTCTTCTCGGGGCTGGATCTGGCCGGTAGGAGGGGGTGAGGGAAGCCTGGCCCTGATCTAGCTGTCCTGGGGAAGGGAGGTTTGGCCCAGCCCCAGTCTTGCTGCATGGGGTTTGGGAATTTGACAAAGCGGGAGAGGAGTGGGAATATTAATTGCTGCTGCTTCCATGCTGCCAAACTTTCTGACCAGCAGGGAGTCGCGTGGGCTGGATACCTCAATTCTGCGGGCCAGATGTGGCCCACGGGCCTGGGGTTGAGCATCCCTGGTTTAAACTGATGATTGTATTCAGTCACTCAACCTAAATTTACTCTAGGCTGTATGTGGAGCAAGAGTCTGAAAGGAGACTCTTCCACTGGGTAGCCTTTGTTGTTTTTTGATGTAGTGGGGTTTTTTTTCTCTCTTTAAAGTGGTATAAAAGTACAACAGTACCAGGGTGTGTAAAACTCAAAACTGCAAATGTACTTGAGGGTTTGGATTTACTAACTAGTGTAAAACTTCTTTTTATTATTGCTGCATTTATGATCTGTAGTCCGGTCACTTGGCGGCCTGTGGGCTCTGGCAGTAAACCTTTCACTACTTCTTTCTGTGAAGGTCGCTTTGGTCACCTTGGCCTGGCCATCAATTTGATCACCTATGATGATCGCTTCAACCTGAAAAGTATTGAGGAGCAATTGGGGACTGAAATCAAGCCCATCCCAAGCAACATTGACAAGAGCCTGTATGTGGCAGAGTACCACAGTGAACCTGTAGAAGATGAGAAACCTTAACCACGTGCGTATGTTACCTTTTGAGTACTGAATTGGGGTGAGTAAAGAGATGGAAGCAGGCAGGAGTTTGCTGGGTCAGTTCTACCTTGGCGCTCTTTCCCCTTCGTTATTTTGTTAGATCTTTTTAACTCGGTATGGTGAGCTCTTGACTCCTGGAGTAAGGGAGAAACTGAAGGGTGGCAGAGTTTGGCCTAGGGGCATATCTTTGAACTTGGAAATGAGGAAGGTGCTATGATAAAATGGAAGAATGTTCAGTGGATCAGCTCCTTAATACGTAAGCACTGTGTATGTGGGAGTTTAAAAACAAAGTAGCCTTTTCCCCCATGCTTCTTGCTTGGCAGTTGCTGACTCGTATCCTGTTTTACAAGATAAGAATTGCCCATGGTCGCAAGGAACACCTTGAATAAGGCAGTGATATAAACAGGGCTGTCTGTGGGATTTTGGACTCATTGCCATTTGTTCGTGCAGGAGTCCAGAGGCCCCAGTCAAGGTTAAGGCACCATAGTGTGTTTGATCTCTGTACAGATGTTCAGTAAGATAAATAGCTCATGTACATTAAGGCAGTATTGTGGATGAAATGGGAGAAAGGAGGGTGTAAAAAGCTGTGGTTTTTATACTGGCTATTGGGTCTCATTACCGGTTCATATCGACTTGTAAAATGGCTCTTCCCACCTCAGTCATCGTTGGTTTTTGGGGTTGTTTTTTTTGTTTTTTTTTAACACGAACTTACAGGTGCTATGCAGAGGTCAGTCGTGAGGAAAAGTCTGTGGCTTTGTGGCTCAGTTCAGGGAGGTGTTCCCTTAGCCTTTTCTGCACTTTTCCCCCCATTTATCCTTGAGGGAGAAAGTGGGAGGTGGACATTGGACATGGCTGCCCTCATTGGAGTAGAGGTTGAGAGGGCCATTTGCCAAGAGACTACCAAAAGGCAGGGTTGAAGGGATAGCCTCACATGTGAGAACAACACTCCTTGCAGAGAGAGAGATTTACAGCTGTAGTGTTAATGGGTTTCTGAGGAAGTGATGCTTTATTTCAGAGGCAAAAGCAGAGGAAGCTGTGGTAGTCCATGTAGGAGATGGACAGCCTGACCTTAGTATTTCAGCCACATTATGAAAGAAGATTTGGGCACTGTTTGAAGTGCCCAAAGCAAGGAAGAGGCAGGAGGCAAAGATAATCAGGATAGTAATGTGCGACAATTCTGGCAGCAATGAGAGAGAGGGGAGCATTTGAGGGAAGATTTAAGCTTGGGTTTGCAGCGCCAGCTACAACTTAAGCACTTTTTAATGGTTCAAATGAGCAGACTTCTGCTCCGAGGTGGATAAGATCCTCTCTCTGCTCTGTTCCAGGGGCATTTGATAAACCACTCCTCCCCACGAGTCAGAGCTAAGTGTGCGCGTTTGTCTGTAATTCACTTGCTGGCCACTTGAGGACTCTCCTTTCAACGAAAGAGAAATATGGAGGTCTTCTATGGCTGTTGTCAGGCTCCTGCTTAGGCTGCAGCCTTTCTGCTAACTGTGTTTTTGAGTAACCCTGCCCCCCCGTTTAGAAATCTGGTGTTCCTAGGTTATAACTTGGCAACATGCGCTTCCAAGGACTGTGCATGCTTGATTCCTTTCCCTTGCTTTTGGTACTGTACCCCTTTTTATGATGGAAATGCAGGGATAGAATTCAGAATGAAAGTAGATCTTGTTTCTGGGAGCAAGCCCAAGAATACTCATTAGCAGAAAAATGTTATCAGGGTCTGAAAGAACTTGTATCCTAGTTATTCTTGAAAGAGCTTAGGGGATGAAATGTTATGTGAATGAAAACACTTCATCACTGGCTTCCCCTCTGAAACTGAGGGGGGATCTGGTCAGAGGCCAAGCTTACATGTAGTCGTTGTCCAGCTAGCCTGAGCTGTCCTTGAAGGACAGTCGGATGCATGGTGATAGCTTCAACAACATTTATAGTGTAAGAACTAATTTTAAAAGTTTTTCAGAATGCCCCTGTAAGGGTGAGTGCTATAAGTCTACCAAAGAACTGTCATTTTGCTGTTGCGTGTAGTGTGACATTTAAATGCCATATGGGAAGGAGAAGACAGAGTGCTTTTAAAAATGAAAAATTAAAATCTGTTTTTGAAGCAATTTGGCCACAGTTGAATTAGCCAAATTTGGTTTTCTTTTCTTTTTAAGAGCAAGCTTGCTTTGCCATACATTAAGTTGCCGCCTGCATTTCCTGCTTATCATCCAGCAAGAGTGGTAATTTCCTGTTATGTCTGTTAGTTTGGAGATGTATAGCTTTATTTAGCATTATGCAATAATTGTGATGTCCTTGACATCTTTTAACACAAACTAAAGTGCTCAAAGTAGCTAGAAGTTTAAGGTTACTTTGTCAAAACTGGCTTGATCAGAGGTACTGTTAGAATACTGAATCCCTGAATTTTCTTCTGTTTTGAACACAACTTGGAGAAACTAACTGCGGGTTCCTTGTTCTTTAGGCTTTGATTACAAATGCCAGAAGCTGAAGCCCTTTGATCCGGATCTGTGACACATCATTTCTTTGGGGATATTCTTCTCTTCGTGGGTTTTTCTTCACCTTTTCTTTTTTGGGACTAAGAAGACTAAAGAGCTCAGCCTTTTTTTTTTCATTTTTTTAAAAAAATTTGGCAGCAAGGAAAAAAGACAAAAGAAGGAATATCTTTTTTTTGGTTTTTTTTCCCACTTGTTTGCACTGTGTGCTGATTGAACATTCGTTGCACTAACTGCTGGTTTTAATTTTTTTTTCCTTTGGGTGGGAGGGACAGCAAAGGAAGAAGAGAAACCCTGAAAAGAGAAGAATCTTGACGAATACAAGCTTGTCTACGATTTTCAAATTCTCCCAACAGCTGACTGAGTGCATTTCAACTTCTCCCTGGTTACTCATCTGTTTTTAAGCTAAAGAGCTTGTTACTTATTCGTGCAAAGTGCCTTATGCTATGAGACCATTCAGAATATCACCTTTCCGATGCAGCCCAAGGAATCGACAGCTATTTTTTGTTTCAGGTCAAAGTCCCCAACCCTTCCCCTTCCTTTTCCCCACAGTACTAAAGGCAGGACTAGGAGGTGAAAGTTATCAGTAATGTTTTTGTTTAACACTTTTTTTTTTTTTAATTGGAGGAGTTGATATGCAACTGCAGTTCACCCATACTGTAAATACATGTATTTAAAACAAAAAAAAAAAACAACTGAAAATCTGGGCTGATTAGGTGCAACATCATAGCTCCAGAAGGAAAGAGCAGCCTGTCATCTTTGCAGGAGCCATATGAAAAGCCCTTATGCTCTAGCAGAACACTAAAGACTGGTTTCTAAGTCTTCATTAGTAGTTACAGCACTTGATATGTAGACTTGTTTCAGAGCCATGGCCCTCTTTCCTCTGGTGCAATGTGTCCCATAGAAAATCGGATGTGTATACTTGTACAAACTTTGTAAATACGTTGTTTTTTTCTGTCTTGGGTTCATATATAACTTTTTTTTCTTTTTTGATGAAGGTTGCTGGGGTTAAAGGAATTAGATTGATTATGGAAGCAGCTAAAAATGAGAGGGGCTCAGTTTTCTGCAACACTAAACATTGAAAAGTGCTCTGACTCCGAAGGGCAGACCTCTACAAGTTACCCCTGTCAGGGTGGGTTTGCTCTGGTGCTTGCAACACTGTCCTATACTGCTTTCTTGGAAGAGATTACTTCTGGGGTTGAAAGGCCTCAAAGTCTGTAGCTCAACCTGTTTGAGATGCTCTTCAATTTCCCCCTTAGAAACTTCAGGAACTTTACCAAGCTCTGAAGGGGGCAAAGACCTGTGTTCCACCATGGCACGAGGGAAATCCTGCAGGTATCAGTGTTGTTGAGCAATACGTATAAGGCATGGATTTAGGTTTAAAAGAAACTATAAAAAAATACTTGCATAAACTGACAGTTCTGGAGCTCTGTGGGATTGATTCACCTCCTACAGCATTGTGCATACTCTGCCCAAAACAACCTTACATAGACTCTCGAGCAGGTAAGGGCAAAACCCCTTCTAACTTGTGAACGTCGAAGCTGCAGAAAGCTGCTTGACACTTCCTATGTTTTGGCACGAATTGCTGTCTGTCATTTTGCATTGTATATTGCTGGAAAATGCTTTATGGTTAAGTAGTGTTGCTTTAAATTGTGCCCCTCCCAACATGCTTGATGTTTGGCCTGATCTACAGGCAAAAGGAGTGAGACAAATCAAAACCAGTAAACTTTTTTTTTTTTTTATTCCCTTTTATCTTGTTCAACAACAGTTTTGCTAGGAGGCACCTGGAAGAAGGTGGTCCCTTTTTGCTCAGTCACACATTGTGTATACAAATGCTGCACTTGCACCATGCTTGCTTACCTGGATAATTAATCAACTTAATTTCTCCCCAGTTTGACTTTTTATAAAAAAGTGAAATTGTTTGGAAAAATATGGCAGATTTTTGAGTATCAGAAATAGACACAGGTGCCTCCTGGCAACAGCTTTCTCAAGGTGGAAAGACTTTTTTTTTTTTTTTGGTTTGGTTTTTTTTTTTTGTTCTGTTAATTTTTTGTCTACAGTGACTCCATAATAGTAGCAAAAGCTGCACTAAAGTACAAACTCAAGAGCTTGGTCACAGGCACTCTGTGATCCACATAACTGCATCCAACTGGCAGGTACTAAATGTAAACAAGTAATTTTGGGGTGCTTTTTGGGGGCGGGGGGAGGGAATTTGTGGGTGGTAATGTTGACCAAAAGTAAAATCTTGCTCTTGTACTGCAGCCAGTTTTTTTTTTTCTTTTCAATGAGACAGAGGGATCATTTTAGTGCAACAAAGATGAAAATGTGTAAATAAGTTTTGTATCCTGTGACAGGGCATGCACATATAACAAGAAAAAGGATAGCCATGCTGAGTCAAATGTGTGCTCTGCTTGGATTTGCGGCAGATCAGCCTGGTGCCATGCTTTGGTCCCTCTTGAAGCACAGAAATTTTTAAAATGGAAAGTATTACTTTAAACTTTGGCCTCTGATTGAGGATTGGCACTTAGCTAGACTGTTGGGGGCACCATTCTAAAGCGGCTTCTTCTCAAGGAAAGAAGCGATCTGATTCTGGTGCCAGTAGGCTATCTCTAGATGTATACGATCTTGCAAAAGGAAAGATGCTCCAACTGACTAGGTTAAATCCTAGTTGTTTTTTTTTTCTCCCCCCTTAAGTAATATATAAAATTAGACTTCCTTGGATTTCTTCTGGCTTACTGTAACAGATTACATGACAGACTTCATGTTTATCCATTGAATTGGAATGAGTCTCTGCTTTTGGTAATAAGCCCAACATAACATTTGCTCTGGCAGTGGTGATGTTCTTAATGGGCTGTTGAGCATTTTTTCATACATTAAAAAAAAAAAAAAAAAATCCTTCTAGGAGCCTAAAAGGCTAATGTCACCCTGCAAAACTGATACATTTATCTTCCAGTAGACATGGAGACATGCAATTCTTAAGCCTTTTGAAATATGACTAAAAAATCTAGATGGGTTTCTCAACATACGTTGTCCAGATGCACAGCGGTAGCTGGAGGGTTTTCCCCAAGGGGAGTGGGGTGGGTTGGTCTCAAATATTTTAATTTTCAGAATGAGATGGGAGCATCTTTCCTTCACCGTTTGCTTTGTGTCTATGTGGGTAAGAACTTGAAAGCTTGACACAGAAATTGCAAACATGTTTGTTTCAAACCATCTCATTCTGTTTAACTTTGTTCTTTGTTTTAGTGTGGGGAGGGGGAGGGTGTCTGCACCAAGGATTTAGAAATGCTTCAGTTGCTTATATTCCATCATTGATTGACACAGTGCAGGGATGAAGAGACCATCAATTTGCCTGTATTTTTGAAGTACGCAGACTTTTTTTGCCAGGAGTCCAGTTCCATTGGAATGATCTTTTGTTGGCCGTGGACTTGCTAATACTGCTCGTGCCAAGGAGCTTATTGATTCATGGGAACAGAGTGAACTGTGTCCTTGAATAGCGTTGCTGCCACTAACAATTTGGCTACATGTGGTCCAAACCAAGAGTGTTTGTATTGCCATGACCCTTTTACTCCAACTGTAAACCAAAATTTAACTGCACAATTAATGTGTGGTCTCTCAAGTGAAGAGTGCATGTCAGACAGCTGAGGAAAGAGAGGTGGCGGGAGTTTGCCTTGAGCTTTGCTCCCTCCACTTCTTTCTTTTGTTTTTAGCCTGGAGTATTTTCCTACTGGAAGCATTGTTAAATTCTAGTGTAGACAAAAGTGAGGGAGGGCTGGGTTGTGGGGTGGTGGGGAGGGATAGGTTTATTAAGATACAGGCTTCCTGTATTTTAACCAATAATTGTTGGGAAAGGGTGTTTGGAGAAATATAGGCAATATTCCCTTTATTGAAAGAAACAGGAACTTTTTCAAGCAAAAACAAAACAAAACACGTTTTTTGTTTTGTAATTCAAATGAGGCTTTATAAACCATTAGTCCCTAGTTAAAGGGGCTATATTCCACTGATAACAAGTGAACATGGACTAGAATTTGGAAACATTCAGGGGAGGGAGGGGGAAAAATTGGCTTTCTGTTTAATTGGCAATTGGCAAACTGTCCAGTGCAGCTCAGTTTTTGTTGAGAAAGTTTATCTCTGTATGTACTTATATGTGATGGAAGGCTGTGACTATGTGAGAGTTTTCACTGAGTTCATAAGAGTATAAGAAAGGTGAATGGTAAAATCCTGATTTTGTTAATAAAGCTCACTGGAACACCAGAATGGTGTTGGTGTCTGTCTTCTAACAGGTTTTTTGTGGTACTGAGTAAAAGGTTGGTTCTTTCCTCCTCCTATTCAAGATTTGTGTATTTGCTGCAACCCTGAGCATGTCAGTGCTTCAAAGTGGCATAAGTAAGAAGCAGTAATTTTCAACATATGTCAAAAGGGCATTACGAGCACAACAGTGACCTTGCAGCTGCAGCAAACAACAGCAAGTGGCCGCTGGAAGAGAGGTTTTGTCTTGTTGGCAGGGCTGCCCAGTGTTTGTGCTAACTTCAGCTGAACCTGCTAGATGGTCCGTACAGTCCATCTTGCATGAGTTCTGTTAGTGTTTCTTCATTTCAGATTTCAGTTGGCCTGGAACTTAACAATGCTTTGCATTATACAGACTTTTCAGTTACCCTCTGGAAAAAAAAAAATTAAACAGTGACACATTATAACTTACTACAGAAAGATAGTAGAGCAGGCTTTGTCCGTTACAAAGAACTCTGCAAGGTCACAGCAAATCAGAATGCTTTTAATGCTGTGGATTTCTCTTTGAAATCTCTGGGTTTATCTTGTGAATCATGTTTGCACACCCGGCAGTCCTGACAACAGGGCACCCTTGAAACGGTCCCAAGGCACCCCAGAGTGCCATGGAGGAGAAACACTGCCCTATGAAGAGCTGGGTTTCTGCTCATCTGAAGTCAAAAGGAAAACAGTTGTTCTGTGTAGTTTGTATGGAGTTTTGCTGTTATCAGGATCGCTCTGACCAATAGGCCTGAGATTGCTTAGGCTATTATAGCGCATCAAAATTTAAGTAGGTTAACTGCTGCAGGGAGGGGGGGAATTACAGATCACAGCCTGCAACACCTTTCTTCAACTGGAGGACAAGCATTATCTTTGCACAGTGCCTGCATATATTGCCCTAACTGATGATCACTCTTCCAGATACCAGCTGGATTTCAACCTGTAACTCCATAACAAACTAGCAAACTTTGCACCTATTTTCAGCCCTGTGTGCTGTGTTTATCGCGGTGACCGCTGTATCCACAGAGTTGGGGGGGTTGAGTACTGTAACTTGAGGAGCTAGTTTGTGGACTATATTAATAAACTTGCTCTTACAGGGATTTTAGTCAGGGATATTTATGCACTTCACAAAGGTGAGAAATTGGGGGCTGTGGCAACACTTTTGGGCAGAGTTGTCAAAAACACAACCTTGACTTGCAAGATGTTGGTGTGCCAGGGGCAGATGGCAAGAGAGCCAGGAGGTGCCTGATCCTTGGCTCCTTCCCTGCTATCTGCTGGGAGGCCTGGCGGCCAAGCAATGTTCTTTGGTATGCCACAGTGGCACCTGTGGAGAACCTGGAGAGGGTCCAGAGGAGGCCGTGCGCACGACCCGGGGGCAGCAGGGCAGGCCCTATGAGGAGAGGCGACAGGAAGCTAGTGGCCACTTACAAGCCAGTCAGGGGGGACCAGCAGGCTTTGGGGGAGTCCCTGTTCCCCTGAGCACTCCCAGGAGTGACGAGAAATAAGGGTCACAAGCTGGCAGAGGGTAGATTCAGGCTAGACAGCAGGAGGCGCGACTTCACGGTCAGGGGGGCTAGGATCTGGAACCAACTCCCAAAAGAAGTGGTGCTGGCTTCTACCCTGGGGGTCTTTAAGAGGAGGCTTGTCAAATCCCCTTGCCAGGGTTGTTTGACCCCAGTACTCTTTCCTGCCATGGCAGGGGGTCGGACTTGATGATCTACTCGGGTCCCTTCCGACCCGACCAACTATGAAACGATAGGTTGCGTTGGGTCATGTAAAATAACTCGCTGAGTTAAATAAATAAATAAATAAATAAATAAAACAAAAAATAAAGTGCAGCAGATCTAAAGACACATCTGCTGCTATTGAAATGCAGATACCCAGCCCCAGACTTTTGTGTTAGTAACAGAAGAGAAGCAGTGTCTGTGCGTAGGGAAGTAGCATTAATTATATAAGGTCTGTTCTGTTACTGAAATAAACTAGTGCTGCAATGAGCTTAAAATCTGATTATAAATGAAGGAAGTTAGGGGAATGGATAGGCATTGCCGGGAAATAGCCGATATGGAGGGCATTTTTAAAAGGATGGGTTCAGTGCGCGGGAAGCTTCAGCGATAGAGTCTGTATTGGCAGAATTAAAGCCTGAGGTGGGTGGGTGGGGAACACGAGCTGCCCTGTAATGGGACTTGGCAGGGCTGATGAAGATTTCTGTAGGGTTCCTGTTGTACCTCCGGGCCAGGCTTTGCGGGGGGAACCTGTCTGCAGACCCTGGGCTCAGGTGAAGGAGAAAGTTGGTCTTTTGGGATGGTGAGGTGGCTGCTTCCCCTTTCCTAAAAGCAGCATGCTCTAAACAAACTTGCCTGTGGGGGACACTCTTGCACCAGGTGGCTGCAGCTTGTGGGGAAGTGCAGGAGACCAGGGGAAGGAGGGCTTCCTGCTGCCCTGCACCATGTTGAACTTGCAGCCTGCCCAGGCAGATTGGCTGGAGCTTGTTGTGCAGCTCCTAAGGTCTGTAGCTGATCTGCATGGGGGTACCTAGAGTCCACCAGGCTTCCCCTCCCATTTCCTCCCTGCTCTTCTCCTGGGGCAAGGTGCAGCATTGGTAAGGTGCCACACACGGGCTGAAGTCTCTCCCTCAAGCTGTCCTGATTCTAGTCCCTGATGTCTGCGGATGCTACTGTCCTGGCTGCGATCTCTCTCGTCTCGAGAAGGGGTGCTGCGGGTGGCTGCCTAGGCACAGTGCTGTGCACGTACCCATGGCTGGAACTGCTAATGAGGACTATGATAGGGCTGTCTGTGAGGATTAAAGCCACTGCCAGCCTCCTTTGCTAGCAACCGCTGAAGCTGCCACCCCCCGTGAAGGCAGCAAAGAGCTTGTACAGCACACGTGATTTATTTCAGACTTTGCTTCCTGGACTTTGTTCTGCTAGATTGTTAAAGCATTTCCCTGTGAACGCCGTACCTCGGGAACCAGTTACCATCCAGCACCCCTCCTGAGCAGTGGGGCTGGTGCTGCCAGGATGCTGGGGACAGTCTGGCGCTTCCTTGTTGGCATCTCCATTTCTGTACTAGGATGGCAGAGGCTGGCCTGCGGCCTCCCACCTCCCTGTGACAGGTAACTGCTGTCCAAGCTACTCCATGGGCACCAGCAGGCCTCCCGGTGACAGATCTCGGGGCCCAGGGCTGTTGGTTGTTTTTGTCTGTAACACATCCTAGCACCTCCTGTACAAGTTGCAGCTGTTGGTGGCACATCACTGCCTGGTGCAAGTGGCTGGACCTGATGATCTGAGATCCCTTCCAGCCTTGCCATCTATGACTCTATGGAGCATGAGGGAGCAGCCAGTGAAGCCTGTGTGTAGTCCAGAAGTTCTTCTTCTCTCTGAGCCCACTCTCAGCTCCTACAGTCTCTAGAGCTATGATTAATACCCCTCAGCCTTCCTCCCCAGCGGCCTATTCTGGCTCAGAGGACATGCAACTGTCAGAGCTGGATGTGGTGAGAGCCTTTCCCCTGTATTTGGGCAGAAATATCTGCAGGTATAGTTGGAGGACAAGGATCACTGCCCTGAGCTTATTCATATGGGTGACAGGGGCTTCATCATGACTTGCTACCAAGTGGTAGCTGCATGTTCCCCTGGGAATCATGAGATTTCTTCTGAGTTTGAGAGGAACTGAGGTGCTGCTTGGAGTTCAGAGGGTATGTTTGCATTGCGTGGCTCTGGCGTAGACTTCCAGGATGGACAGGAGCTTCAGCAGAGCAGTGCTGTGGTTAGTCATTGACTCCCATGGGAACTGCTTGCCAGCAATTAAGTGGAGTCCTATCGGTGATCCCTTGAAGAGAGAGTACTTGGCTTCACAGAGCCTATGGCAGCTTGTCTCCAAGAGCTGCCATCTGTTCTCACTCTGTGTCTTTGCTCTGCTCTGTGATCCTGGCAGACTTGCAGCTTCCTCTGCTGTTTGTTTTGGTGAAACGAATGGTAACTTCACAGCAGATGCAGGCATTGGCAGGGTGCCACCCTGGTGGACCTTGACCTCTGTGATGGACATTGTTTGGGCTCCAGGCTGGCACTTGTTTTTGTCACAGGGCCGGGATGGTGCCTGATTGTGTAGCGGGACTGGGCTGCGTGGCTCTTGCCTGTCAGAGCTGATGCCCAGCAGGTGCTCTCAGATGTGCCATGTGGTTGTGTGACATGGCTGTAACATGCCGTGGTCTTGTGCACAGGAGACGGTCTTGGTACATCCTGGTGTGCAGATGGACCCTCGGACAGTCTGAACGCAGCAGTCGAGGGACCGTTTAGAGTACTGCAATGGAAAAATCAGTGGGTTCTGGGTCTGGGTTGACGCCCAGGAAGTTTGCGCTGTCTTGTATCAGCGCACTCACTCCCCTGCGCACTCATGCAGTGACAGTGCAGCCCACCTGTTCCCCCTGCAACATGCCTGGGCCCTGACCCAGACCATGCTTGACGTCTGCAGTTCGCTGTCCATGCTGATGAGCTGTCTGTTGCAGTGCATATAGCAGACTGTGCAGAATGTGACCAGGCAGGTCTGAATCTTGCTTAGCTTGTCTTTCTGTCTTTTTGCAGCAAGATTTACTGCACTGGAGACCTCCTGAAGCAGGTTCAGCTGGCCAGGCTCTTCCCGGATGCAAAGCACTTTATTGACATGCCCCTGCGGAAGCCAGCAGGTCAGCACAAGCGGCATGGCTCAGGCCACTGCGCTGCGCTGCTTCCTTTGCTCCCAGACACACACCTGCAGTCTAGTCGTTCCAGTCCTGGGCTGCAGTCGCTGCCAGTCTGGTCTGTGCCTGGCCCACAGTAGTCATAGGCCCTCTATGCGACTTTGGTCAGGCCACAGTTGGAGTACTGCGTCCAGTACTGGGTGCTGCACTTCAAGAGGGATGTGGCCAGCCTGGAGAGAGTTGAGAGGAGGGCCACCGGCTCGGTGAGAGGGCAGCAGGACAGGCCCTATGAGGAGAGACTGAGGGACCTGAACCTGTTCAGCCTTGGCAAGAGGAGGCTGAGGGGGGACCTGGTGGCTGCCTACAAACTCATCAGGGGAGATCATCAGCAAATAGGAAGAGTACTTTTCTCCCCAGCACCACCCGGGGTGATGAGAAACAGTGGTAATAAGCTGATGGAGAATAGGGTGGAGATCAGGAGGCAGTATTTTACGGTTAGGGTGGCCACAATCTGGAACCAACTTCCCAGGGAAGTGGTCCTCGCCTCTACCTTGGGCAAATTCAAGAGGAGGTTGGATGATCACCTGTCTGGGGTCTTGTGAACCCAGCATTCATTGCTGCCTGTGGTAGGGGGTCAGGCTAGATGATCTGTTCAGGTCCCTCCTGACCCCAGCTACTCTCCCACTATGAGTGGGAGTCCTGGCACTGTGCTGTAGCAGTGCAGTGGTGTGTACTGCACTGGGAGAATTGCCAGCATACCTTGGTCCTGGCAGGGGTTGCTGCAGCCTCTTCTCTCTTCTCAGATGTGGTGCTGGCAGAATTTCAGCAGCTGATGGCCAAAGCACAGAAGGGCATAGTGTCCAGGACAGAGCTGCAGCAGTTTGTGACTTTGTCCTTTGATGATCCAAGGAAGGAGTTTGAGCAATGGGAGCCTCAAGACTGGAAAAGCAGGTGTGCAGTGAACCCAACCAGATCCCTCTTGGTGTGAGCCTGGCATGAGGCGTCCTGTGGAGTTCTTTCCTGCCAAATTCTCTTTGCCTTCCAGGCCCCGCATACTACACAAGATTTCTGACCAGAAGCTCCGGGCATGGGCGTCGGAGCTGAACACCAAGTGGAAATCCCTCGGGAGAAAGGTAGTTGGGGTGGGAAGCCTGCTCCCACTGGGCAGACGTGCCGTAGGCCAGCTGTAGGGTGCACGGAGCGGTTGTGGGGCCTGGGAACCAGCCTGGTTTGTCTCTTTCTCAGATCAAGGTTGCTGCAGAAGCCCAGCCAGAGCTTTACTCCCTGATCTATGTGCCAAAGCCCCTGATGGTGCCTGGTAGCCGGTTCAGAGAGGATTACTACTGGTGAGTCCTGGCTGGGCAGGGACTGGGTCTTGCACTGTTCTCAGATGAATCGTTGTCAGCACTCTGGTCTCGCCCTAATCAGGTTGAGCTGCTGACTATGTTGTTGTGCGTCGTCCCCCGCCCCGCTAATTCCCCCCCGCACTGCAGGGGCTATTCGAGGCCTCCCTCTTGGGGCTGGGGCTGCTGTATGCAAGGCTGAGCTTTGTTTCCAAGCCTAGACCACCTGCAGAGGCTCACTCCCCTTCTGCTGCAGGGATTCGTACTGGGTCATCGAGGGGCTGCTGCTATGTGACATGCCTGCCACGGCCAAAGGGATGATTCAGAACTTCCTCTACCTGGTGGACGGGTGAGAGCTTGCAGAGTGGGGACACCAAGTGCCTGGCTGCCTTAGGCCATCACGTCTGTGGGGGCTGCAGCTTCCCATCCAAGAGACGTGAGGGAGTGGGCCCTTGCTCCAGCTGTGCCCCGTCCCTTCAGGCATGAGCTCTGAGGGGGTTGAGGCCAAGGGAAGGATCTCTCCAGTCTGCTGGCTTTGGTCCTGTGGCAGCACCGTGGCTGGGGTGAAGCTGCCCCAGCACATGGTGGGCAGGGCGGTTTGCTACAAGCCCGCCCTGCTCCTGCCTTGCCGTGGAGCTGTGACATGGGTTGTCCCAATGGGCAGGTACCGGCACATCCCCAACGGAGGGCGGGTCTATTACCTGCGCCGGAGCCAGCCCCCCTTCCTCGCACTGATGATGGACGCCTACCTTGCTCGCACCAATGACACGGCCTTTCTCAGGTGGGCACGAGGTTCTGCTGGGCACACTGGCCCTGTGTCCCTGGTGGCAGGGCAGGCCGCGGACCCTCCCCACAGGCCTGGCACCTGCCTCCTGGCCTCTTCCTTGTGCCAAGTCCTTGAGTGTGCTGCTCTGCCTTGCAGCACAAGCGGGTCCCAGGGGCGGCAGAAGACACGGGTCTGTTCCCCGGTAGCCTGAGGCAACGCAGCCTCCGTGGCGGGTGGCCTGGGGAGCTCCGCTGTAAAAGGGAGCGTGGGGCTGCGACAGATGGTGGGGGCAGGGTGGCTGTGCTGCTGGAGCCCAGCCTGGTTAGTCGGCTTGCTTGGCACTGGGGGGATGCTGACAGGCCTACTCTGGCCCCCAGGGAGAACATCCACCTGCTGGAAGTGGAATACGAGTTCTGGCAGCACAATCGCAGTGTGAACATCACTGTGGCGGGCACAGATCACACTCTTAACCGCTACCATGTCCAGGTTGGGGAGCCCAGGTAACAGCCTAGAGGCACTGCCCGAGCAAGCGATGGACAAAGGAGTGGGACTCCTGGGCTCCAGATCAGCTCTGCCATGACTTGCGCTGCGGCGTTGTAGCCCAGGGCCCCATCCTCTCCCCTCGTTGCAGGGGCTGCTGCTAGCACTGGGCTTGGCAGATACCTGGCTTTCTGCTGACACCAAGTCTGTTCTCGGGCCCCTTCCCTGCCTCCTGGACATCGGTGTGGGGGTTCAGCTCTGCTCTGCTCCTGCAGAGGCGGTGTCTGGCTGCGTACTCTTCCCCCGCACCGGGGACCGTGAGCCGCAGCAGGGAGCTGTGCCCAACTAGGTGCTTGTACAATGGAGTGCAGTGGCTGCAGCAAAGGCCTTGTGGTCACTTGTTACGCAGCGAGTCTTGCTTGAGGTTCTGAGGGTTATTGAGCAGGTGCTCCAGGAGGTCCCTCCAGCCCAGCCCAGCAGCATTGCTGCTGGGCAAGTCACTGACCTGGAGTAGATGCGGAGGCAGACAGTGCCCCCGGACTCGTGTTGCTGTTGGCATCCGGCCTGGCTGCTACCCTGCGGTGCCGGCAGCTGGACCCTGTGGCTCCCTGAGTGGTAGTGATGCTGGCAGAATTTGCCCTGCTTCCTCAGCTCTGGGCTCCCTTGCGGAGTGTGGAGAGGCCTGCTCCTTGCTGGCACAGCATGCCTGGTGGTGGCCGAGGCGGCGGCTGCTGCTGCTGCTTGGAGCAAAGGAAGGGCAAACACCTTGATGGACCTGGTGTGTTTCCCTCCCCCACCCCCAACCTCCTGTCCTCCTTTCCTTGCAGACCAGAGTCCTACAGCCAAGACTGGGAGCTGGCAGCTGGCTTGAGTGACGGTGAGGTCTCTGCATCACAGTATTGTCCCCAGCATCGGCAACCCACCCTGCCCCTTGCTGGCTGCACCCCATGTGCAAGGAAGCAGAGCCATGGGTTGGGGCTGGGCATGGGGAACAGCCTCAGTGAAGGAATGGCTTTTTCTGTATAAGAGGATGTGCTGGCCCTGAATGTTCTGGCCATCAACAGCCCTGGGCTCGGCTGGGCGAGACGATGGCCATCGCTGCCGCTTGGGTGCTGCTTTGCTGGGTTGTGTGATTCCCCAGGCCCTTCTTCCACCTGCACTCCAGAGGGTCGCTTGGGTGGGGGACCCTGCCCCCAGCTCGCTGCTGTGCTCCATACCCATCTGATGCACATGCCTTGGCATCTTGCGTTTACCCTTGCAGGGCATGCCCTGGCTAGGCACCAGCCCTGCTGCCAGAGGGGTCCTTATGTGATTATCTGGTGCTTGCAGCTGCCAGGCAGGAGCTCTGGGCAGAGCTGAAGTCTGCAGCAGAATCAGGCTGGGACTTCTCTTCACGCTGGTTCCAACCCTCCACGCACACTGGCACACTGAGGGACACAAAAGCCAGCGCTGTGGTGCCGGTGGACCTGAACGCCGTGCTGTGCAAGACGGAGCGGCTGCTGGCAGAGTTCCACAGGCGGCTGGGTGAGGCGCTGCTCGGGGAGCAAGGCTACGCCTGTGGGGCAGGGACACCCCCTGCTCTTGGAGCAGTGACCTTGTCTCCTGCACCATGACTGCTGCCCTTGCAGTTTGTGCCCATGGCAGTGCAGCATATTGGCAACTCCCTGCACCAGCAGAAGGCATCCAGCTGCACTCTGCCCTGGGTAAAGCCCAGGTGTGGTCCCTTTGCTGCTCTGCTGAGCTGAAGCGGAAACGAGTGCTGTTGGGATGTCACCTGCTCCAGGTGCTGATGCTTCCTGGATAAGGGGCTGCAGCAGACACGCATGAACTCTGGCACATCCCTACTGTCTCTCCTGTGTTCCAGCTTGAAGCTTTATGCCTACTGCCCAAGTCTGCTGGGAGAGGGTAGTCCTCTGGCCTTCTCTCTGAGGATGTCCTGCCAGCCCATTGCAAAGCAGTGGGTGCTGCCACAGGCTGCCAGGGCTCCACAAATGGCTGCGCCTGCTCTCGCCCTCCAAGGCAACAGCTCCAAGGCTGCCCACTTCCGGCTGCACTGGAGCGCCGGCTTCGGGCTGTGCAAGCTGTCCTGTGGGATGAGGTGGCTGGAATATGGCTGGACATCAACCTCCTGACAAAGCAGCGGAACCCAGCCTTCTACCCCTCCAACCTGGTGCCCCTGTGGGCCGAGTGCTTTGCGGATGAGGCTGCGGCGGCGAAAGTGTTGCGCTATCTGCAGGTGAGCCAGGCGCCAGAGCATGAGGACACGGCCTGGGTGCCTGAACAAGGGGGTCAGTCTCCACTGCTCTTGCACGTGGGGATGCCCCGTGTGCCGGTTGGTACCACATACCTTCCTGCTGAGCGACTTGCACAATGCTTGGGGAGCTGGGCTGCCCAGTGTCGGGGCGGGGGGCTCCTGAGGGCGATTCAACTGCTGCTGCAGCCCTGCCTTCTGCTGGAGCTGGGTGCACCTGTCTTCCACAGGGGCAGGGGCCTCCCCTCCGGTGAGGGCAGGCTGTGTAGGCCCCAGGTAGCTGGAGGGGGTGGCTGGGCCAAGCTTGCTGTGCTCAGTGCAGTCCTTGGGCTTACAGGGGAACACAGCCCTGTCCTATGACAGCGGGCTCCCGACAGCTCTTGCCAGGACGGGGCAGCAGTGGGGCATGCCCAAGGCCTGGCCCCCGCTGCAGCACATGGTGATTGTTGGTAAGAGAGTGACTTGTGGCCTGTGGATGGGACTGCTGAGCCTGGCAACACGGTACTGTGTTGTCTCACTCCCCTTCCTCGCATGGTGTGGCCCCAGTCACGTGCCAGCGCTGCTGGCTGCACCCAGCCTCAGCCTGATGGCACAGGTGCCGCTGTGCAGCAGTCGTAGTGTCTGCCCAGTCCCAGCTGTGGGGCCTGAGCACGCAGAGTCCCAGGCACCTGGGGGCATGTGGCAGGGGAGGGGGAAGGCCTTTCAGCCAAGTTTGCAGTACTGCTGCCCGGCTGGGGCAGACTCTGTGCTGCTCGGCCTGGGGGCGGCTGGTTGGAAAAGCTTGCGAGCGGGGGCACCTACCGGCAGTCGCCCCCATCCTCCAGCTCCTTTGAGCGCCAGAGGCCACCGCCTGCCGCCTTGATCGGGCTGTGGGGGGAGAGGGGTAAGTGGGGCACAAGCCTGGCTGCAGCTGCAGCCCCAGTGGCTGGGGGGGGCCTTGGCCCGCAGGGCCCCACTGCCGCAGGTCTGGTGAAGCCCAACTCCTGGAGCGCACGAGAAACGGCCTTTGCCCTGGCCCAGAACTGGACCCGGACCACCTTCAGCCTCTACCACAAGTACCAGGCCATGTTCGAGAAGGTAACGCGGGCGGGCGCGGTCTGGCACTCAGCCCTGCTCCAGCGGCGGCGGCGCCGAGGGGCGGGGGCGCCCGGCCGCTTTCCCTGGTGCCGGAGGGTCCGAGGGGCGGGCGTCTGGCTCTGCCCCGGGCCGACCTCCGCCTCCCCCCGCAGTACAGCCTGGACGGCGAGGGCAGGCCGGGCACCGGGGGCGAGTACCAGGTGCAGGTGCGAATGGGGGCTGCGCCGGCTCCGCGGGGGATGGCGAAGGTTCGGGCCGGCCCGAGCACAGGACCCCGGCCCGGCCGCCTGACGCCCCCGTCCCCGCAGGAGGGCTTCGGCTGGACCAACGGCGTCGCGCTGCAGCTGCTCGACCTGTTCG